ATGGTGAATTCCAGCAGGCGATGATTGCTGTCGCCCAGGTGGTCGAGCACCCGCAGGCCCCTCACGAGGTTGTCACCTGTGGCCAGCACCAGATCCAACAAGGCATTTCCCCTGGTGGGGCTATGCACCTCCTGGGTTAGATGGAGGTCCTGTATCTCGACTAGGAACCTACGTGAGCGGTCAGACCTGGCTGACTGCTCTTCCCAGCAGATGTTTGGAAAGTTCAGGTCACTCATGATGACCACATCTTTTGACCTAACTACCTTCATGAGCTGACTTAAGAATTCCCGGTCTAGCTCTTCCCCTTGGTTGGGTGGTCTGTAGTAGACCCCCACCGTTAAGTCCCTTTCCCCTCGACTCCCTTGTATTCTAACCCTGAGCACTTCAGTGTGCCCCTCATCTGACCTTGTGCTACTAGATGAGGATGTGTATTCCTCCTTGATGTAGAGTGTCACACCCCCACGTTTCCTCCCTGTCCTTTCCTTCCTGTACAGCCTATAGCCCTTGATATTCACTGCCCAGTCATGTGTTGGGTCAAGGCAAGAACACAGGAGCGATATGCTTTCTGCCTAGCAAAAAAGTCTTAGGATATGGACAAATGGATGGTTTAGCTGCTTTAAAAAGGGAGGTGAAGCTGCTGCTCCAGAACATACAGCAGCTGCTGTGATCTAACTGTTATGTCTTCATGATCTGTTGTGATACAAGAGGGGTGGTCAACGTGCAGCAAGCATGCCAGAAGCAGCTTGGGCAGCTGCTGTCTGTGGCACCCGATCTGCAGGTGCTCAATGAATCGGAGGCTCTGGAATAGAGACAGGGGAGCTCCAGCCTCCAGTCACATGAAGCAGACCAGGAGCAGGATGCTGCTGTGAAGTGAGGTAAGAGCAAGGTTTACCCTTCTCTTGCTATGCAGTCACCACCAACTTGAGCACTCTGTGTCCATGCTCACCATATAAAACTTCAGCAGCGGCAGGGCCAAGGAATGGTGAATTTAGCTCTTGGTGCTGACACTTCTCTTGCAGCAGAGTCCAACTTCCTCTTTGCTTTGTGGAACTGTAGGATTGAGGGCCCCTACCTCCATTCCGGCACCTCAGGGTGCAAACTCTGTCAGGTACACCTTTGGGGAACAGGGATCAGAGCGACACCTGGGGACGTAAGTTTTAACGTAAGACTTAACGTCTTAAGTCTTAATCCTTTGATACTGATACAATTGTCACACCATGTTCCAAGAGGAACTGTATGGATTTTGAACCCAACTGTGATAGAAACCATTGTTCAGAAAAAAAAATTGTTTTGGTTTACGGTCCGTTTGTTATACCAAACTCTGCATTCATTTTATAAGATATGACCATAGTTTGTAAATTCTAGGGCACTTAAGGTTTAATCAATTAATAACAAAATGATAATGATTCCTGAAAAGCAAAAATTTGTGTTGTAAAT